CCGCGGCCAAAGGGGTGACGGTCCCCACGCCCTCCCCAGACCGGGCAGAGCGGCGCGGGCCCAGCGGCCCGGCCGCGTTCCCGCTCACCTGCGGCAACGCGGGAGCAGCACCGCGGCTCTGCGGACTCGCGGGCACGTCTGGCGCGGCGGCGGCGGGCGGCGCTCGGCACTCACCGCCTCGGCCCCGCCCCCGCGCCGCCGCCGGCCCATGTGCGGCTCCGGCCGCCCGGCCCCGGAACCAGCATGGCCTCCGCGCCCGCCCACAGCCCGCCTGCCGCGCTGCGCAGCGGGCTAAAATGCGCATGCGCTAAGGGCTTGTAGCATGAACTATTCATGTTCCGGGGCCTGGCGATTCCAGAACCTTCTGGAACGCTCATGCTCGCCGCGGGTCAGAGGTGAGCTGACCTCACTTCCGTGCGGGGCCCGGCCTGGGGCGCCGCAGGAGCTGTGCAGCGGGTCCCCGGTGCCGCCGGGGCGCAGCCGTTCCCGGGACCGGGATGGCGCCGCAGAGGTTGAAAAAAAACAGCGGCGCTAAACGTCCCCGGGGCTGGGGGAGGGGGTCGGGGCTGCTCCGCCCCGGGGCGGGGCGCCGGTCGCGCATGCGCACGCCGTGACCTTCCTCACGTGTGTGCTGGCGGTGGCGCGGTCACTCGGTGCGGGCGGCGCGGGAGCATCATGGTGAGTGCCGGGGCCGCCGCCGCCGCCACTGCTGCCGCGGGCCCGCTCCTGGGCTGCCCCTCGCCGCGTGTCTGCCGCCGCGGGGACAGACAGCCCGCACGGCCTGGCGGCGCCCCTGCTCCTCCCCGCGGTTGGGTCGCTGCCGGGGCCCCAAGCAGCCGCGCACGGGTGTGCTCGGTCCCTGCGGGCAGCGCTGGGTCGCGGGGGGACCTGGGAAGATGGAGCCGGGGGTGGCGGCGCTGCAAGGTCACGCAGTCCGTGGGGCAGAGGGACTCCCCCGGTAGGCGCGGGGGCTGCGGGCCGGACGTGGCGGGAGGTTTGCAGGGGCTGCCTTTGGCTGTGCGCACACTGGAGCTCAGGGTTCCTCCCGCCGCAGTAACGGGAGCGGCCCCGTGACAGCAGCGCTGCAGGGCAGGGCCGCGCAGGCCACGGCTGATCTCTGTGGAGATAGACAAGAAACCTGTGCCACGCTCCGGAGCTCTCTTTTCTATAAGTTTTGTAAAATTTTTTATAAAGAAGGAGAGTTTCACTGAGTTGCCCTTGTTCTCGCAGTGAAACTTGATTCTTAGGATAATAATATCGTGAAGAATTAAAACTTAGTGTAAAATATTGATGGTTATAAGTCTGGCAGCTTTATTTCTGGTAAACATAGAACAGCTCTTAAAAAGGAGGGTCAGCGATATTATCTTCACAGAATGGAAACGTACACAACTGGCAGCCTTTTCCCTTGGTTATCTTTCATCCCTGTGCTGCTGGCAGCAGTCAAATACAGCATCTTCCATGTGCTGCCTTTTGCTCGTGCTCTGCCCGTGGCTTTGCTTTCTGCCCCTTCTCAAGTGTGTGTGGATAGCGATGAGTGCCAGCAAAGGGCACACGGATGCCAGGCCCTTCTAGCTCTTTCTCTGAGCGTGGGCTCTGTACCTGTCCAGTGGAGCACTATCTCCATGTGACTTGGCAGCCTGCCATATCTTTCCTTCTAAATCAAAGCAAGTTCCTTCTTCCTGACCCACCGTGCGTTGGGATGAGTGCATTTGCTTGCATTTATCTGGCCTATGGCAGTTAGACTGCTGGTTCTGAAATGCAGACAGATAGCAGAAAGTAGTTGCAAAAAAACCCCAAACCTAACCCAAATGTGAGGGAAAAACCCAACAACTCAATCAAAACCCTTCACCTTGACTCTGGTTAAGCAGAAGCAGATACTAAAGCAGTTGAGCTAGAAGGGTGCCTACTTTCTCATTTTCTTGACTTAAACTTTCTTGTAATTTTTTCTGAATCTGTTGGTAGAAGTTGGTATAAGCACCAGCACTGTGGCTCAGGCTGCAGATTCTCACTGTTTTTTTGGTGAAAGGGTTATGCTTCAAAGCACATAAGAAAGACTGACAGTGGGGCACCTGGCTAGACCTGTGCTTCTAAACCTATTCACAAGTATAGGTGCAGCTCTCCCAGGGAGTCCTTAATCTTCATTAGATCTGGTTGTGAACTGGAGAAACCCAGTTCATATAATCATCAATAATGGTGTTCACCACGCTATAGCAACTGAGGGTTTGGTGTTTAAAGCCTAGAGGCTTTTCTAGACAGAGGAGTCTGCTCATCCGTGGGTGGTTTATTCCCCAGCTGGAGTACATCTTCTACAGCTGAATTGTCAGGATTGCCCAGCATCTGCCTGTGCCTTCAGGAGTTTCTGATGCAACTCTATTTGAGCTGCTATTTGCTGCTATTAAATAAGTGCCTAGCAGTTGTCTTACACTATTCATCTCTCTCAAAAGAGAAACCATTATGTGTCGGGTTTTAGAACTCCTTTTAATTGCAGTTTTTGTTGTAATGGCTCTCTTGTTACAATGTACAATTGCTTCCACAGGCAGGAAAAGCATTTAGGAAATTTCTCCCCCTCTTTGATCGTGTACTGGTTGAGCGATGTGCCGCTGAGACAGTAACCAAAGGAGGAATCATGATACCAGAAAAATCCCAAGGGAAGGTACTACAAGCAACAGTAGTAGCAGTTGGATCTGGAGGCAGAGGAAAGGTAATTACCCAAAGCATTCCCTTTGGGTAGAACCAGTAATGAATGGGGTGGTGGTAGCTGCAATATTGCCATAAGAGTGGGATGGTTGTAGTGCAAAAGTGGTTGACAAAAATGGAGGACTGTGATGGCTGAAATTGCAAGTGGAGATTCAAAAAGCAGGTAGAAATCTCAAATTGTCCTGAAATGAACTCCAGCATTCCTTTAATCATTTATAAAATGGAGTGGGGTTTCTTTTGTTTGCTGTTGGTGGTGGGGGGTTTTTTGGGGAGGTGTTGGTGGTGTTAGTTTATTTTAAATATGTAGACAGTGTTTTGTGTGATACCGTGTTTCATCACATCTCAGCCAAAACCTTGAGGGACCAGCAGACTTCTTTGTTAAAATTATTACATGCTCAAATGTCTGTGACTTGTGAGCAGGGTGGAACCCCAAAATGTGGGGTTTCCACAAAATATAAAATGCCTATTTATTGGCTGCCTTGTGCTGTGTCCAATACCATTGTCCATAAGGATTAGGCTTATTGGACTAAAGAAGGTCAGCAATCAAAGGAAATAAGTGTTGAGTTACTCCATGTTAATTTTGCACATTGGATATGTATATGGAAATAAGACAGTTCACAAAAAGGCCAGTGCCTGGGGGCTTCCACATCAGAAGGGCTGGTTCTCCATCAGAGCAGTGTTCAGTCAGTAGCAATGCTGGAAAGCAGGTTAAATTTCAACCTGGGCACATTGCCTTGGCCTTTCTTTACCATGAGTCCCTCTACATCCCAGGCTGGTTTGTGTCAGGATCTGATTTTTAACAGTTTATATTGTGAAAAGGTGATAATATTTGACTAACGTGTTAATGTTTTGCTTGTAATACAAAAATTTCGTTAAACTCTATCAGGTGTTTCTAAACAATTGAATTGACGGCAACAGTGACAAGTTGATCAAAGTTACAGAAATGGGAAGGTACTTTTTAAACTGGCTCTTGGAGAAATTATCCTTGATTGTAGAATATGGAGATGAACTTTGTGCCTTGGTTTTACAAGGGGGTTTCATGGTTCTTTAAGTGAAGTCCTATTCAGTGTGTCAAGCAAAGACCTCACACTTTGGTTTTGTCTTTACAGTCAAAACTAAATGCAGAGTTGCGATTTCCTGAATGTTTCTGTACATGGATGGACTGTTGTAGTTTGGAGGAATTCTATTACAGAAAAGTAAGGATTTTTTTTTCTTTTTTCAGAATGGTGAGATTCAGCCAGTGAGTGTAAAAGTTGGTGAAAAGGTTTTGCTCCCAGAATATGGTGGCACTAAGATCGTACTGGAAGATAAGGTAGGTTTCCCAGCTTTGTGAGTGCAAATCAGAATGGTTCCTGAAACGCCAGTGATAAATACTGTGGTTGCTTTGTGCTGTTAGCACCATTCAAGAAAGGGAGCAGCTGGATCCAGCCACCTTCTGACAGCTCTGCTACTGCTGCTTCTGCCCCTGCATAAAAGGCAGCAACCACAGGAACCTCTGACCCAAACTTTGCTGGGTGGGCAAAATGTTCCATATGTCAGGTGCATATTAGAGGGAATCCAAAAAGGCTTAGGAATTCCTGGGGGCATCCTTGTTTTTAGCAGGGAAAGCCTGCAGAATTGTTTTCTAACAGTTCTTGCGCTTTCCCACTGCTAGAAGTAGTAACTTGATAACTCTCTAAAGAGTATCTCAGGAACAAAAAGAACTTTTTCAAGACTAGCTCTACATGTTGACTTCTTGGTTAGCTTGCTTTTGATTTTGTACTTAATGGCTGCAATAATGCTGACTCAGAACAAGACAGTATTTGCAAAACAAGAAAAATATTTACATGACAGAAGCTGTTTCTTTTCTTTACAGGACTACTACTTGTTTAGAGATGGTGACATTCTTGGGAAATATGTGGACTAAACCTGTTGCAGTATCAGTCATCCATTCCACTAAAATGCTGAAATTTTTCTTTCATCATGTAAATAATGTCCTTTATTTTATAATAAACAGGCATTGAGTCTTTGAAATAACTTGTGATCTCACTGTAACGATGGAACACAAATAAAAATATGTACAGTCAGAAATCAGTTGCTCTTGCTTGAGTTCCATTGAACAGTGAAATTTGGATGACCACCAACCAGCCTTAACTATTCCAAACAACATCATTTTATATCCTTATCTCTGTACTGAGATTGTAAAGGTCTTTACAATAAACTGATAAAACTATTCTGCTTTTGTCTCAGTTTCTGCTGTTGCTCAGTGAAACTGAGTCTCGATGTGTAATGAGCTCTCTGCACCATTCAATGGTAGCAATATGTTATTTTCACCAAGTTTGTATAAAATTAGCTTAAAATGGTTACCAGACAGATGCAGTCTTGCTGAGGATTTTTATCCAGCTCCCTTGCACATTGGACTCCTGAGATAGCATGGGTTCTTCTAACTTCTGTCTGAAGACCCTGAAACACTGAAGGTTAAGGCACACAAACAGCCTGTCCCCCAGCACTTGGAAGGAGCTTAGTACCAGTCATGTCTCTGCTGTTAGAGGATCATCCAGTTCCCACATGGAGCAGATAAGAATTAATGGTTATTCTTGCTTATCACTCACTAAACTTTACCAATAGAAAATAAAAAAACTCCCCTAGCAGTTAATCAGGCAGAAGAGGGGCTGATGCTGATCTTAAATGAAGTTTCTTTACTGATTACCACACCATCACACCCAGATCTTGAGCTTTCCCTTTTCCCTGCTTTGACAAATTCCATTTCCTTTACCCTTAACACACCATTCTTAAACAGCAAGACATTGACTTAGGTAATGCTGAAGGAATGAAATTTCTGTATTCCTGGCCACCTTCTCTTGCCTTGACAAGGATTCAGGGTTGTAGGTGCAGGAGCACCCAGATCTGCACTATTCCTGAGAAGGCTTTCAAAGCTGGGGTGCACAGAGGGATCTAGTGCAGCCCAAGAACAGAAAGTGCCTTAAGGTGTTTTTAGGGTAATCCTAGTGAAGTCAGTCAGTACATGACTTACTGCTGCTGAAACTTCACTGGCAGGAATTAAATTCCACTTTTCCCTCATCCTAGTCATGCTGATAGGAACGCAGCACTATTAGATACATTATAACCCTTATTCCAGAGGTACCAGTAAGAACTGTAACAAAATATTTTTCAGATCTCCACTCAGATGCTGCAGTGAGGGACTCAAGCTCTGCCACAGTTTGAAACACAATGTATTTTCTGCCAGCACAAAGTCCCTGCCATCAGCTGCACAGCACAGAGGTCAGCTGGAGCGAGGCTTTTCCCTAGATGCCATCGATCACCCAGCCATTCCAGCAGGAGCTGCATTTACCAGGCTTGGCTGCGATGGCTTTTGCCCCCCTTTGCTGCGGGGTGCTTGCTCTTGGCTGCTTACCTCTGCTTGCTCTGGAACTGAAGACAAACCAGGCACTGCTCCGGGGGTTAAATTTGCACTGAACTGTGGACAGACAGGGAAGATGCTAAATTAATAAAAATACACTTTTTAGTATAAAAGACTTACATCTTGAAATCTGCCGTGTTGCAGTTTTACTTCAGTAGTTACAGCACTGCACCTTCAAGCTGAAACTTCAGATAATCACAGCCCAAGGACCTTGCAAGACAATTGATTGTGTAATGAAACACAAACTCCCTGTGAAGCATTATCTCCCACTGCAGCCAGCATGCCTTTATCTCCCACGATAAGGCAGGCAGTCTGCTGCAGTCACACAGCAAAGAGGAGAAGGTGTTTTAAATATTTACAAATGGCTGAGAGACCCTGTACCCCATCTCAAGGTGCAGTAGGAATTAACTGCCAACAGAGAAATGTTCAGGCCTAAAATTTCACCATTTCTTTCCATAATGGCTGTAAAAGACATGAACTGCATAGGATCCCTCTGAGCCCTCACCACACAACGTGGCTGCCCCCAGCTCCACTTTCAGGCCAGCAGGTTTTCAGCAGCTTATGCTGAAACAGATACAATGCCTATTTATTAAAATATAAAATGCCTATTCATTATAGAAATAAAATAAAATATAAAATGCCTATTTATTAAACTTAGCATGGCTGTATCTAGTACAGTTTACGTAGGTGATTAAAAACAGAGGTCACACTTCATGGGAATAAGTAATTTATGGATGTGGGGGAAAGAGAGTGTTCCTAGTACTAATTACATGGAGGACACACTGGAACATTTGCTGGATTGACAGGAATGTTCCATCCTTGCACCACAAGGCTCTCACTGCAAGCAAGGACAAGGCAACTGCCACCCAGGCAAGGTGATCCATCTGTGTTACTGCCTCTCAGGCCATGAGTGTGTGCCAAATCCCATATCCCTCAGGTTCTTCAGGCAAGGACAGACAGTCACAAACCCTCTTTCTTTACTACGTTCTTCCTGTAGGGAATTAGGCTTCTTTCCACTGTTTTCTACATGGTCTAAAACCTGCAGTTTTGGTGTAAATGCTGCTTATTGCCCCACCTGCTTTTCTGAGGAGATACAGTTTTCAGTCTTTCTTCAGTCTGTCTGAATCCCAAGGAAACCAGGTGGACTCCCATCTTTTGTGACTTTCTTTTCTCAACACTTCAGAATAGCTTCCATTCTCAGCAGCTGTAGTGTTTTCAGAGTTTTCTCACCCTGGTTATGTTATCCTGCCACAGTAAGAAAAGGATGGAACATTTATATGCCAATAGAGAAGAAAGGACAGACACGTCCCTAACAGCACATGCATGGTTGATAAAAGTTTGACCAAATATTAAAATTTTCATTATGAAGGCCATAAGATGAGGACCAGCTGAAACCCCAAAATTGAAAATCCTCTTGTTAAGATTTTGTTCAAAGACAGCTTGAAATTTAATGAAATGAAAATAATAAACATCTTCCAGGAATACAGGGTTAATTATCAAGGAGCAGCACAAGATAACCCTATAGAATTTAAGATCTTAATAAATGAGGCAGATTTCTTTCCTTTTTTCTGCAGGCACATGAACCATCTTCAGACTGAACTAACAGAGACATATTTTTCTCTGAGAGGTATTTCTTCATGGTCAGATTTGTTTCCATGTTAAAAGCAAGATGGCCATGAAATAAAAGTCAGGGACAAATGGAAATATCAAGTCCCCAACTTTTCTGTGCTTTAAGGTTAAACCTTGAATATGCTGATAGGAAAAAAAAAACAATCCACAACAATAAAAGAATAATGCAAACAAGCGGCTGGATTTTGAAGGACTCAGGCAGCTAGAACTGCTTGTGTTTCAAAACTGGCTAATAATAATATCAATCTCATTAAAAAAAATATTGGAATACAGCTGGTCTAAAGATGTACTAGGACATTTCTACTCCTCATTCCAATACACCAATTTCTCGCAGCATTTTAAACCTTTTGATAGTTTCTTACACAGCTGGGTTTCGCCACACGACCCGAAGAGCTGACATCCCTGACATGCCTGGGGCAGGAATGCTGGCCAGGAGTAAAATAGTAACTAGTGCAAACCGAGCTCCGGCGCCTGCGAGCAGGAATGCCGAGCCCCGCGTTACAGTGTAACGTGAGAGGGGCTGCTCTGCCGGCAATAGAAACGGCGGGTTGGGCACTGCTGACCCCGTCACCCATTTCTGCTGCCCGCACATTGTCCCGCTCCCGGAACAAGCCTGGCCTCCGGAGCAAGGCAGGGCCTGCTCACAGCCTTGCCCAAGCCAAGTCAGCATTCAAAGTGCACTCCTCTTTCTGACGGGAAAGCCTAATCAGAGACTTTTCAGTGTTTTAGATCTAGAAATGTTTCACAAGTTGTAGCTCTCACGGGGTAGAAGGAAGGGGTTTTAACGTGTTATTTATAGCAAAAATAACAATCGAGTGAAGGGGGAAACTACAACCAGTACTCACCCTGAAATGCAGTGGGAGCAGGGACAGCAGCAGGTAGCCAGCAGCCTTCTCCACTCTGCACCCCACAGCTGCCACCATTTATTCCCTGATTGTGTGAGGGAGGTGTCTCATGGTACCTCGCTGCTTCATCGTTCTCGCACACAGACAGAAGCAGTTCACCCCTTGCTACTCTGTACTCATTTCTACCACTAATTTTAGAGAAACAGAAGAACTTTCAAATAATTTTCTTCTCACTTACCCTACAGAAATACTATAAATCACTCTGGTCTTTCAAAATGTTTACTTGCTTGTAAGGGAGATGTATTTATCAGCCAGCTATGAGGTAACAGTGTCTTTTTTGTTTTCTTCGCAAATAGAGTCAACACCCGGCTCAGTAACCCTTGAAACTTGAGCTAACTCTGTTTACCATTAGCACAGCAGTTTGTGCCCTCTGCAGAGCAAGCTCACAAGGGGTCTCAATCCTGCCTTTGGAGACCTAGAAAGGTTTCCTACCTACTTTAAAATTATTTTGCCCCACACAACCATTGTTAGGGCGGGGTTTTACTCATTATTTTTAAAATAAATCTTGAATATTGAAGTCTGAATAATTTTAAAATCAACATCCTTGTAGTTTGTATTTCACAGAGCATCAGGGGCTCGGTTGTACAGACAGCAGCGAGGACTAACCTTGGGTGAGCGTACGCACAGCCGGGGCTGGCGGGGGGATGCTGATCAAATGGGATGAAATACGATGAATTTCCCAATAACCACTCAACCCATCAATCTCCGTGCGAGGCTTCGCCTCACAAACCGGGTCACTCGCTGCGACACCGGTCCCGCCGCGCAGCATCGAGCGACCGCCCCAAACCTCCCCACTCGAGACTCTGTGCGTGTGTGTGTGCGAGTGTCAGTGTTGTCTCAGGAATACAAAATTCTGCTCTGACAGAGGGACCCGCAGGGCACCGCGCTCACAGGGAAGCATCCGTGGCCTCCAGCGCCGCGCAGAGGAGAGCGCGATAGCGCTGCCGGGCGGGAAGGGGCAGGGACGGGGAATGGGGCGGCCTCATCACCACCGCCTCCCCTCACGGCCGCCCCCACCTGCCCCTCCCGCTTTCTCTCGCGAGAGCCGTTCTCGTTCCCGCCCCCGCCGCGCGCGGCGGCTGTTCTGGCCGTGCCGCCCCTCCCTCCGCGGGCCGCTCCCGCCCCGCCCCGCGGCTGTTCCGCCCCGCCCCGCGCGGCCCCGCGGCACATCCGGGCCCCGCGGTCGCTATGGTCATGGCGGAGGGCACGGCCGTGCTCCGGCGGAACCGCCCGGGCACCAAGGCCCAGGTGAGTTGTGAGTTACCGCCACCGCCGCCCCGGCCGCCGGGCGAGGGGGCATGGGCAGCGCTGCCGCCGGGGCCCAGAGGCCAGCGGGGCGGCGCCGAGGGCTGCTCCAAGGGCCGCTCCGGGCCTACCGAGGCCGGGGCGGCGGCGGCCCCGGCCCCGCTGCGGAGATCGCTTTGTTCGCGGGGCAGCGGGCGAGATCCGGAGGCTGCGGGGGAGCGGACCGGGAACGGCGGCGGCTCCTTCCCCGCGGGCTCGGCGGAAAGGCCGCCGGAGCTCCCAGGCTGCGGGCTGGGAGCGGAGGTCGCGTCGGGCCCGGCTGGCCGAGGGAGGCACCGCGTCCCGTAGCGCGGGGGCCCCGGCCGGGCCGAGAACGAACACCTGCGAGAGCCGGGCGGGAGCGCCGCAGGCTGGTGCAGGCAGGGCGGCTCCCCGGTGCTGTCAGGCATTGCTGCTGTTCCTGCTCTGAAAATACCGGGAGGGAGCTCATGACCCTGCACTGGGCTCCGGGAGGAGCTCGGCACCGTCAGAGCGACCGTACCTGCCTGCCCTCCCAGAGGGATGTCATCCCTCCCTTACGTAACTGCACACAAGGAAATTCTGGTGTTAGATCGCTTCTCTTAATCAAAATCGAATTCATTTGTTTCTGAGGTTACACGGCCAGCTGGAACAGGCACGCCTCAAACATAGAAAATGCATTTTTTAGATTATTTCAGAGACATCAGTCAGACCTTAATGTGAGACTTTCCCCTCTGCTTTTGGGAAAGGAGCCGTGTAAGACAAGTGTCCTTTCCTGTTCTTTGTCATAGCAGAGAGGTAAAATTATTACACAATCCTGTAAATCAGGTCATTCTATGCATGTTTAATCTGTGAAGGAGACAGAATGTCTCCTGTGTGAGATGTGTGCCTTTGATAAATTTGAGGTATTCTGAAAAACAGCTGGACATAGACCTAGGTTTGGTCGACTATTACGAAATTCATGTAGATTGAAGGATTTTGTGTATAGTGATGATAATGTCTCTCCATAGACATGATTTTTCTTTGTGTGTGGCTGTATTTAACGTTTGATTTGGATGACACTGGTATAGCTGTTCAGTTTGCAAATACAATTAGGTAATGATATTTCAACAGTGGATATGCAGTTGAGGTATTTCTGCCAGAGCTGACTTGCTCTCTCAGGAACAGATTGCCAAGCTTTGCTGTTGGGACATTTTCATTGAGTCATTGCACCTGCTGGGATGACTACAGCAAGCTGACATGCAGCATCTCTGCATGATATGAGGGAGTAGCACCAAATTTTAGATGTGAAAAATGCACAGTAAGAAAATGCCTGTGGTTGGGATGATCGTGGGTGCAGCACATGTGGACTGCTGCAGAACACAGGTGCAGCTGGATCAGGGGTGAAACTTGAGCAAGGCTTTATCATTAACAAGGCTGATAAGCATCCAGAAAATTTCATTAAGGCATACTGACCTTACTAGGGGTAAGGTGGGAATGTGGTACCAGGTTAGGCCAGCACAGCGTTGCGTGATCTCAGTTCAGAGATGTTTTTCTTGCTGTGTCACCACTGGGAGCTTTAGTTTCACAAGCAGAGTATGCTGCTGCTCTCTGCAGACCTCTTCTTGCCCACGGCTGCCTGGTCTGGCACCTGCAGTGGGTGCTGTGTGCTGTATTTCATGGAATAAATGCAGGCTCTGGGAGTTACAGCGGGGGTGTTCACCTGCCGAGTCATGCAGAGCGTTTCCTTTCAAGGTGTGCTGCTGCTGCAGTGCTGGGAGTGGAAATCCTCTCCCTCTTCCTGCCAGGACTGTGTGCTGCTTCTGCTCAGATGCAGCTTCCTGGAATTGTATCAACTCCTGCATGTATTTTCCTGCATGCTCAGGCTTATTGTAGGCTGTGTGCCTTTCTTCGTCCCACTCTGGTCTTGTTACATTGCTTTAAACTTTCTTTTTTCAAAACAGGATTTCTACAACTGGCCTGATGAATCCTTTGAAGAAATGGATAGTACATTAGCTGTCCAGCAGGTATTCCTACTTACATGAAATGTTGTTAATGAGTGCAGTTTTTGTGTTCTGGTATATAAAATTGAACAGGGCTTGATATTTATCTGCTTAGGGTGTTGCTGCACAGCAGTGAATTGGCTAAGCACCTATGTATATTAACAAATTAATGGTTAATTTTGTTTGCAGAAATAACTTAAATTCCCATGTCTGGTTTAAACAAATCAGATTTAGGAAAATGGTGGGGGTTTCTCTGTTCTTTTACCTTTTTTAATTGAAGAAAGGCATTTTTCAGATCTGGCATTTTTAATACCAGTTTCCTTACCCTGCCCATCTACTTTTGAATTTTTTAGTCTGTCAATAATTTAAGTAAAAATTAAGATGTAATGTTCTAAGTATACTTCCTCACTGTGATTACAACAAGATCTAGTTTTATGTCTACTCCCTCCCCAGTATATTCAACAAAACATAAGGGCAGACTGTTCCAACATTGATAAGATCCTTGAACCTCCTGAAGGCCAGGATGAAGGTGTATGGAAGTATGAACATTTAAGGTAAAAATCCATTTGTTGTTAACATTCTGTCTTGGTTCTAAGTTTTGTTCATTGATGCTGGAATGAATCTATTTGAATGTGACACATCAAAACTAACTTAAATGAAACTTGATTTTTCCACTGTTAAATATTGGTATTATTTTCTGAATTCCCTGTTACTTCTAAAGATTTTTAATATGCTCTGATCTTAATGGTTTTTTTAAAGAAACTATTTTTTTAAAGAAACTACTACTCACTTCTTGAATAGGAAGATATAGTCGTGAATTTCCATTGCACTTTCTCATAGTGTTGTCAGTTCTCCATCTCCACTAATGGGTAATGTGATTTCCAGATGCTCCCAGTGCTTTTCCTGAAACTAGCAGGCAAATAGGCAAGAACAGCAGGATGTTTTACAGTTCTTTTTCTGCTTGTAAGGAAACAAACCTTTTTGTCCGCTTCAAGTTGCAGTACAATACTTCCACTAATGATATGTTAAACTCAGCCTTTGCTGTCAGTGAAGAATTAAAATATAATTGTTTAGCTGAGTAAGAAAATCATCTGCTGGTATGAAGATCAGAGTGTCTAAGCTGTTTTCTATGAGATACTTGCAGTGGGGAAAAGATAGCTGATTTATGCTGCTGTGTTCAATTTCTTTTAGACAATTCTGCCTTGAGCTCAATGGACTAGCTGTCAAGCTTCAGGTAATTCTTTTCTTGAGACATTTTGTCAGGGAGGAGACTTGTTTGTTTTGTGTAGATTGCAGAGCTTTCTTCTAAGTATATACATGCTGGGCTAAGCAGTGGTTGGAGGTTTTGTAATATTTTATATATGGCAATTTTTTAATATTTTAATATATGGCAAATAACTCTTTTGGGGGGGTGGACAGGGCAAGGAAGTGATTTGAAAAGATCAGCTCCTTTTTGCTGCTGGGGTTTTTTCTTAACTGAACAATTGTTTTAACAGAGTGAATGTCACCCTGACACATGTACTCAGATGACAGCAACTGAACAGTGGATTTTTCTTTGTGCAGCTCATAAAACTCCCAAAGAGGTATGGATGTATTTTGGAAAACTGACTCCAGTGATGCAGGAATTTTCTTTCACAGTTCATAGGTTCATGGGGAGCCTGTTAGAGGTGGTTTCTCTAGTCAAACTCTAGTCAAACTGAGAGCTTATGTGAGTTAAGAATATAATTTTGAGCTACTCTTCTTTACCATTCTGTAGTGTTTTACAGAGGAACAGGATGAGGTAAAAGGAACTGCTTTTTTACCTCAGTATTAGCTGCTTTGCACATTCCCCTTTTCTCTCTGGGTTGGTGTTGACCCTGCCTGAAACTCAAAGGAAAAAAGCTCTTTGTTTAACTGATAGAAGAGTCCATGCTGAGGATGGGCTCTCATCTTCAAACCTTGGCCTTGATCCACAGTGTAAACCTGACACTCCAAACGTGACTGCATGTGCTCATTCTTGGGGCAGGTACTCCAAAAAGGTGGTGGAGTCATGAAGATGTTTCTAGTCAAATTGGTTTATCAGCATGGCATTAGCTTGTCTTCCTCCATGTCCAGTTAGTTTAAACTTTGTTCAGATCTTCTGTTAAACCACTTGATACATCTTTTTTTTTTTTTTTTTTTTTTTCCTTCAGAAAGTCTTTGTTGCTTTTGGTTATGATAGTAGTGCAGTTTGTCATATTTATCTTTGTATTTCAACTTCCAGAATAAGGTATTGGTTCTTTTTAACCTTATCTTTTCTATCCTGTAAGGTCTTTTTTCTTGTTTTGTTCTGCTTTTACTTTCCTGAGATGTTTGGATTTAGCCAACTTCCCACTCTCTCCTTTAACCCCTATCTGTAGTCAGTACCTTGGCATGTCTGGCATTGTGGTCCTCAGCTGGATTGGAGAATTTCAGGCTTCTTTTTATCTCTGAGCATGCAGCACTCCTCTCCTGTTTTCAGTGGCAGTTGCCACCAACTCATGGTCAGATAGGGGCTGATGGGACCTTAAACTGCTGAGAGAAATGTACAGCTGACAAGTCTTTTTCCTAAAATTGGTGAATGGACAATGGACATTCTTTCTCTCAGTCTGGCTCAGTTCATCTTTTCTTCCTTTAGGTGTACTTGATTGCAGAGCCAGGGATGGCTTGTTACACACTTAATTACATGTATGATTTTAGTTTTCTTTGCCAAATGAAAAAGCACTGATAGAT